AAACACATTTTTGGGGACAACTCCCCAGCCTCCCCCTTTTGGAGTGCTGGGGGGATTCCCTGGGGTCCAGTGGTGCTGCTGGGCTCCTGGGCGGGAGGCCGGTCGGGCAGGAAGGCGGGCACGTGAGGGAGCACTCACTGCTTCCTCTTCAGCTCCCTCGCGCGCCGCGTAGGGATGCCGGCGCCGGAAGATGACGTCATCTTCCGGCTCCGGCATCAGTGCGGTGCGCGAGGGAGCTGAAGAGGAATCAGTGAGTGCTCCCTCGCGCGCCCGCCTTCCTGCCCGACCGGCCACCCGCCCGCCAGGGTCAGCGGGGCCCACGGGGCAGGTGCCTCGGGCCCCCCAAGAGAAACTGGGCCCGGGGCAGCTGCCCCGTTTGCCCCGCGTTAAAGACGGCCCTGGTCATACGTAGTGTATTTTAATGTTAATATAAGTACAAATATTAGTATTAAAATACACTTAGAATTAAGTTACATAAATATAAGATATATATATATATATATATATATATATATATATATATTATATATATTGGTAACAAAATACACTTAGAATGACATTCTATATATATCTATGTATATAAAATACAAATAACCGCAAATATATACATATATATATATATATATATATAAATCTATATAATTACATAAATTATTACATAAGTATACACGTACAATTTAAATACATATATATGTATATATATTAAAATTCTACATGTATATTTAACCCCTTAAGGACACATGACATGTGTGACATGTCATGATTCCATTTTATTCCAGAAGTTTGGTCCTTAAGGGGTTAAGTAATCTTTTAACATAATTATGTAATTTAATTAATTAAAATTTGATTGATGTGCCTGACAACCTAGGCAGGAAGTGCATAGAATTTAATTTGCAAGCAAAATATATTTAACCCTGTAACTTTCCAAGACACCATAAAACCTGTACATGGGGGGTACTGTTTTACTCAAGAGTCTACGCTGAACACAAATATTAGTGTTTCAAAATTATAGCTTTTATTAAAATGAGTTTCAGTAAAAGTGAAGGTTTTTTTTGCATTTTTCACACACGAACGGCACTTTTACTGATAATATTATTGTTGTAATATGTTTTACTGTTTTGAAACACTTATGTTTGTGTAAAGTCTCCCAAGTATAACTAACATTAACCCCGAGGTATCAGGTTTTATGCTGTTTTGGAAAGTTAGAGAGTCAAATATAAGGCTTGCATTTCATTTTTTTTCACATTGAAATTTGCCGGTTTGGTAATGTTGCCTTTGATACCGTATGGTAGCCCAGGAATGAGAATTATCCCCATGATGGCATACCATTTGCAAAAGTAGACAACCCACGGTATTGCAAGTGGGGTGTGTCTAGTCATTTTTAGAAGCCACTTAGTCATAAACACTGTCCAAATATTAGTTTTTTGCTTTTTTTCACACAAAAACAAATATGAACACTAACTTTGGCCAGTGTTTGTGACTACTAAAAAGACTGGACATACCCCACTTGCAATACCTTGGGTTGTGTACTTTTGCAAATGGTATGCAATCGTGGGGATAATTCTCATTCCTGGGCTACTACACAGTCTCAAAGGTAACATTACTAATCTGGCAAATTTTAATGTGAACAAAAAAGGAAAAATTGAATGTGCTATATTTGACCCTGTAACTTTCCAAAACACCAAAAAATCTGTTAATGGTGGGTACTGTTGTACTCATAATACTTTGCTGAATACAAATATGTGCATTTTATTGCATTAAAAACGAACAGTATTATGACATTTACAGCTAAAACGTCAGGCGGAAGTACAATTTTTTTAAAAAAAATCTTAACTTCTCACAGTTTTTTTTATTTGATTCACAATAAGTTATGTTTCATATATGAATAGTTCATAATTAAAACCCTGTTTCTCCTGAACAAAATTATATATAATAAGTGTGGGTGCACTTAATATGAAAGAGGTGAATTACGGTTGAACAGACATTTAGCGCAAATTCCAGTTTTTGTTTACATTTTGTTTCAGAACCTATACTATTGACTCTGTCCTGAAGGGGTTAAATGTCAGGTTTTTTTCTATGTTGTTATTTGGGTCCCTGGGGTGGAGTAGTTGGAAGAGCAAGGTGTGATGATTCTCCACCCCACTGTCAGAGAGGCTGTGCACGAGTCCAGCCCAGATTTTTTGAGGAGTTCTAGCTCACTGAATAAGGAGGTCATTAGTCTCACATGTAGGGGCTGTGAGCAGCTTTATAACTGCTGTTAACCCCTTAAGGACACCGCTTCAGAAGCTTGTCTGACACTTAACCCCTTCAGGACCGGACTGTTTTTGCGTAGTTTGTAAGTTAAGGACCAGAGCTATTTTAACACTTTTGTTGTGTTTGTGTTTAGCTGTAATTTTCCGCTCTCTCATTTACTGTTCAGATACAAATTATATATTGTTTTTTTCAGGACAAAAAGGGCTTTCTTTACATACTATTATTTTTATCATGTCATATAATTTAATTTAAAAAAAATAAAATATGGTGAAAAATTAAAAAAAAACACGTTTTTTGACTTCTACTTAAAAAATATTTTACTGATCTACAAAATTGAATTAAACAAACTGCAAAATAGATTCAAAATTTTGTCCTGAGTTTAAAAACACCCAATGTTTACGTGTTTTTTTGCTTTTATTTGCAAGTTATAGGGCTATAAGTACAAGTAGGAAATTGCTGTTTCAAAATTTACATTTTTCAAATGTATCAATAGTGACATTGTAACACTTATGTCATAAATCTCCAAAAAACAACCCACATGTATATATTTTTCTTAAACTAGATAACCCAGGGTATTCATCTAAGAATATTTTGATACTTTCTATGCAGCCATTTTACCACAAACCTTTGCCAAACTTTGCATAGGTAGTTTATTTTTTTTATTTTTTTCACATACATTGCAATTCAGGTATAAATTCACAGATTCTGTTAGGTGTCACTGCCAAACAACACCCCAATATGTGTTCAGCAACTTCTCCCGAGTTCAGTGATACCACCCATGTATAGGTGTGTCGGGTTGTTGGGGGCTAAAAGGCCACATTTGGCAGGTGCACATATCATTTTCCCAGCTTGGAATTTTGACATGTAGTCAACCTGCATGCATGTCCTATTTGGGACATTTTTGAAGCCGGACAATGTATTTTACCCCCATCAAGCCATATATTTTTGAAAAGTAGACACCCTAGGGTATTTCACATGGTGGTATTTTAACACTTTCCATGCACTAATTCTACCACCAGGCTTTGTCACACATTGAGGTAGTAATTTTTCTTTCTGTTTTTTTTTTTACACACATTGTGCTATAGGCATGAATTAACAGATACTGTTATGTGTCACTGCCAAATAACACCCCAATATGTGTTCAGCAAGATTTCCTGAGTACAGTGATACCACCCATGCATAGGCCTGTCAGGTTCTTTGGGGGCTAAAAAGCCCTATGAGACAGGTGTGCTTATCAGTTTCCCAACTTGGAATTTTGACATGTAATCAACCTGCACCCATGTCTCATTTGAGCCAATTTATTTTACCCCCATCAAACCATATATTTTTGAAAAGTAGACACCCTAGGGTATTTCACACGGTGGTATTTTAACACTTTTCATGCACTGAATTCTACCACCAGGCTTTGTCAAACATTGAGGTATTAATTTTTTTTCAGTTTTTTTTACACACATTGTACTTTAGGCATGAATTAACAGATCCTGTTATGTGTCACTGCCAAACAACACCCCAATATGTGTTCATCAAGCTCTCCTGAGTACAGTGATACCCCCCATATATAGGGTTGCTGGGTTGTTTGGGGGCCAAAAGGCAACAATCAGAACCTGTACATGTCAGTTTTTCAACTTGATATATAGGTATGCCTGGTCTATCTTCAGTTTGACATATTTTTGCACCCCCCAGTTAATGTTCCCATCATGAAAGAATATTTGTGTGAGGGGCAGCTAAGGCTGTAAAGGAAATAAAAAGGGGGGAATAGGTCGGTTGTGGTGTGCCGGAACCGACGTTGTGGTAGGCCTGTAATAAAAGAGGGCCCACCCATGAGGTGTAATGAAAAGTATAAATAAAGGGAGTGGAGGGTGGGGACATGCGAATCGCTAAAACACGAACGGGACTGAGGAAGGTGAGGAGGAGGTTTAAGTAGGTTAACATGCCCCTCCCACAACTGCAAGCCAAGCCTTCAAATTTATTTGAGGGGCAAATAAGGCCGTAAAGGAAATAAAAAAGGGGGGAATAGGTCGGTTGTGGTGTGCCGGAACCGACGTTGTGGTAGGCCTGTAATAAAAGAGGGTAAAAAGGATACCTGTTTAAAAGCAATCAACAATCTTAAATAGCCTAGCCGTATGGTAACAGCTGAGCGAGTAATTAGGTGCCCGACGCTTGGAACGGCCCTCTAACTTGTGCAAGGGGAAGTAAGGAATATAAAACATGATTGCCATCTAGTGTAGACTAGGTGTGGGGTAGAGAAGGTAATCAATAGACTGCATGAGTAGGTGAGATTTCCTGAGACAATGCTGCAAGATGATGTGGTGACTGTGGGAAATATGTGGGACCACGAGAAACTGTATAGCGGCTTGACAACTAGACTACATAGTTACCTTGCTGATAAAGACTAGCGTCCCCCAATTCCAGCCTACCTCAACATCTGTGATTAAAACGGTTGATCCAAAAGAAGGCAAAAAAGCCAGTTTGATGTGCTTTACAATTTGCAACAAGCTAGGGAAAAATTCCTTCTTGACCCCAGAAAGCAGTCGGATTTATCCTTGGTTCAAGCAGATATCACCCTACAATGAAAGTTGATGCCCGGTCGTTATGACAAGTATTAAATAGGACTGATAGTGATTGTAAAACTTGGATGTTGATGGGAAATCCGGAGATTGAAAATTCCCAGAACCTGAACCCTTGAGTATGGTAATAAACTGGTATGAGGACATGAAAACTGCGTGTGACTAGAAACCTGTAAAACATGTGAAGGGATAGGTAGAGTTGATGCGAGTAAGAGGTGGCAAAAGAAGCGAAAGGCAATTGCAGACAACAAATCAACAGGGACAGTAAACGTTAGATGTGAGACAGGAGCCTCGAAGGGGAAGAAGATCCGAACACATGCACTGCGAGTGCTAGATAGACGACAGCCAGACGTGAAAAAAAATGAGAGCCAGACGTGAAAAACCATGAGCTCACAAGGCGGGAAGCCCGCAAACAAGCCCAGAAACGCCGGGAATGGTAGCGGCTGCGCAAGAGGCCGTAGGCAGGGCCACATTAGAAAGCGTAAAGGAGGCACAGGACAAATCGTACGAAAGAGGTGCGGGAAGACCGGTTCGGATCCAGCCAAAGCGGCATATGCCAGTTACCCCAAACCGCCATCCGACACCGCCCCATAGCCGACAGCAGCGTTACCCCCAGGGCCGGACTGGGAGAAAAATTCGGCCGGGCATTTTTTTAACACAGCGGCCCACTAAAAAGGGGGCGGGGCAGAGGAGGTGTGTTTTGTCATCACCAATGACAAACACGCCTCCTCTCAAAGTGAGCATGTTGGTTCAATGCTCTCCCAGGGCAGACCATGCGCAGAGCTCTGCTGAAGAGCTCTAGCATGAGAAAAAAGTCCTGTATTTGTTCTGCACAGTGCAAGCAAATTTAATAACATGCATGCACTGTGTTTCCTTGCAACTTGTCTCTGGTGTCTCTATAAATGGATACCAGGAGACAAAAGGCCAGGAAAGAGTATTGTGCATGAGTTTGGAGCCTGCTTGTGGTATTGCGTGTGTGTAGAGTGAGCTGGTCGTGGTGTGGTATTGTGTAATAAGGTCGGTTTTAGTCGTGTTGTGTTTGTGGTGTAATGTGATGCATATGTGGCTCAGGGACCCCCTCCCGCCCGGCTCTGGAAAGGGGTTAAAACTTACCTTTTTCCAGCGCCGGGCGGGGAGCTCTCCTCCGATCCGCCCCATCGGCTGAATGCGCACGTGCGGCAAGAGCTGCGCACGCATTCAGCCGGTCGCATAGGAAAGCATTTATAATGCTTTCCTATGGACGCTTGTGTGCTCTCACTGTGATTTTCACAGTGAAAAGCACGCAAGCGCCTCTAGCGGCTGTCAATGAGACAGCTGCTAGAGGCTTTGGGGGAAGGCTTAACCCATTGATAAACATAGCAGTTTCTCTGAGACTGCTATGTTTATAAAACAATGGGTTAACCCTAGAAGGACCTGGCACCAAGACCACTTCATTAAGCTGAAGTGGTCTGGGTGGCTAGAGTGGTCCTTTAAGAGCGTAGTGTGTGTGTGTGTATATATATATATATATATATATATATATATATATTTGGAAGTATTGTGTATGTGTGTGGTGCAGTGTGTTGGGGGGGTTCTGTGTGCATGTGAGGGGTGCAGTATGTGTGTGTGTGAGGGTGCGGTGTGTGTGATGTGTGTGAGAGTGCCGTGTGTGAGTGATGGGTGTGAGAGTGCTGTGTGAGATGGGTGTGAGAGAGTGCTCTGTGAGAGTGCTGTGAGAGAGTGCTGTGTGTGTGTGAAAGTGCTGTGTGTGATGGGTGTGAGAGTGCTGTGTGTGTGTGAGTGCTCTGTGAGAGTGCGCTGTGTGTGATGGTGTGAGAGTGTTGTGTGTGATGGGTGTGAGAGTGCTGTGTGTGATGGGTGAGAGAGTGCTGGGTGTGAGTGCTGTGTGTGATGGGTGTGAGAGTGCTGTGTGAGAGAGTGCTGTGTGTGATGCGTGTGAGAGTGCTGTGTGAGAGAGTGCTGTGTGTAATGTGTGTGAGAGTGCTGTGTGTGATGGGTGAGAGTGCTGTGTGTGATGGGTGTGAGAGTGTTGTGTGAGAGTGCTGTGTGTGATGGGTGTGAGAGTGCTGTGTGTGATGGGTGTGAGAGTGCTGTGTGAGAGAGTGCTGTGTGTGATGGGTGTTAGAGTGCTGTATAAATGTTATTGTGTGTGTGTAGGGGGGGTAAATAAAAAATAAAAAAAGTCATTATTTCCCCCCTCCCTTCTTACCTTTAGCCTGGGAGGGGGGGTCCGGCACGCTGGGAGGCGGGGTGGCAGTGTTCCCTGGTGGTCCTCGTGGGTGAGTGAACTCTAGCCTGTGAGGCTAGAGTTCACTCTCGTGAGATCCGGTCGTTGCCATGGCAACGCGCCGGATCTCGCGAGAGGAACCCGGCGGAGCTGCAAGTTAGAGCTCCGCCGGGTCCTCTCTCAGGCTGGCTGTCTCCTCCCTCCCCGCCGGCGGCGCATGTGGGCCGGGGGAGATCCTTGATCTCCCCACCGGCCCGTCGTGACAAACAGCGGGGCCGGGCGCTCGGATAGTGCCGGCCCTGCATAGACCGGCAGGGGAGATCCTGTGATCTCCCCTGCCGGCCTCGGCCCATGGCCACCGCGGCCCACCGGGCATTTGCCCGGTGTGCCCGATGGCCAGTCCGGGCCTGGTTACCCCTGTAGGTGGACAGACACTGAGAGAACAGCTGACCGGAAGGCTGCCATGGGGGGGGAAATAAGCCGACTCGTGAGAAATCGCAGCGAAGCGAGAAGCGCCCAGGACCTGAAAAAGGTAGGCGTAGCCCGGGCGGAAAAAACACCACACTTAGCAACCGAGACCCACTAGAAAAAGAGACTAAGAAACCGCACATAAACGAGCCAACATGCGCGTGAGCGTGAAAGTGTATGTGTGCGTGCTGGCATACTAGCTAATGCCACTAGCTAATGCCACTAGCTAATGGCGAAACAATTAAAACTAGGTTTGGTGACAGGTGAGGCCCTGCTAGATACCAAGCGGCGTGAGAGGCTCTATCTATG